CACGTCCCTCCTAAATGATATGTGTTCACAGGCAATTACAGAACTATGGAGTTAGAGGACTTTTTCTGAGGTATATCAGCGGCCTCAAGACAAAGAGGAGGAAGGAGGGCCATGTGTGCTTAACGGGATGCCCTTCAAGAGGGTAGACTTTGGCACCTTGTGAAATTATGACTTTTATTTGGCCTTTCAGATATGAACCAAGCAAGGCTGTCAACATACACAGTACAGTAGTCTTCATTGTGAAGGCACTTCGCTTCGTCTGTCAGCTGTAAACAGCTTAAAGAGGCATGTCATTCTAGTATTATTATAGCACTCTAAGATTTGTTTTTAGATTGGTTTGTACTTCTTTCTTCTTCTTCCCCTGGCAAAGGCTTAGATATATAGATGACATGGGTTATTTACTGCATTTACTGCAAAATGCTATGTACTCTTTTGTGTAAGTATGAGGCAGTACCATGTGAAATAAAGAGCTGGGACAGTAACCCGTCATTACAATCGGATAGCAACTTCTGGTCAGCTCCTAACCTGAAGGAACTCCTACAGATTTAATAGCGGGTTAGGGACAGGTTCAACAGTTGTAGCTTTTCCTTCCATTGCAGGATTGGGAAAGGCGAAGCCTCACTGGCTGGCATGCTTCCAGTCACAATGGAAAATGTTGTACAAGGAATTGTTGATTTTGGGTAGCACTAAAATTAACTTATAAATGTGGTCTCCTGGGTATCAAGAATTTGGATACCCTACTTAGAGATGGGCAAATCTGTCAATTTCAGTTTCTCTTTGTTTCTCATCCCCCCCCCCCAAATATTTAGTTCAGTTCTTCACATTTTCACATCACTTTGTGATTTCCCCTCTCGTGAATTCAGCATTTTAGTGCAAATTTATCCTCGTATACACACGTTTGCCAGCAACTTTGGGTTTTGACCCAATGCATTTGTCTAATACATTGCATTATTTTCATGGATAAGTTTATTCTATGCACATTTTACTCTTGTATATGCATCTTTGTGTACATTATTTGGCCAGAGAACTGCACAGCAAAATCTGAAACTCTCATTTTTGAAGGATGACCATTTGGGGGGTGGGTTTGTATTCCACAATAAATAAATCATATACCAAGGCATTTTTAAAAAATTGACAGGAGAATATAACATCCTTGGTCTTTAGGGCCTTTGAAATCCTGAAAATTAACTGATATTTCAGATTCATGTGTTATATTACAAAATTGGAAAAAAGATGTAAAGTATGACAGACTTTAGCAAGAGATTAGTATTATGTAGCTTGTGTTAATGATCAACTGCTTCTGACAGGAAACGGTGCATTAGCATTAAATGACAAAGAGTTGTTCAGGGATAGGGGGAATTAAATAATATGTCTTTTTAATGCCAAGTTCGAGGTAATCTTTTTGGAATATACTCTGCACAGCTGGAGATGCGCTATAGGTGCTTTTGTACTCCGTTCAGACAACAGATTGGAGCAACTCCCACAACTTTTCTGGTGCAAATAGGCAGCAGCTAGCAGTATTTCCACAGGTTTCAATAAGCCCCATGTTAACCGTGCTAGGTCTTTGAAAATGTAGCATGTGAATACACAGCAGGACTGGACTGAAAGGATCCAGGCTCGGTTTGGACTGGGGTTTCCGTACTGTTGCTGCCCTTGAGCTGATGCCTCTTGTTGTTTCGCAGTAAACACAAGTTTCTGTAGGTGTAAACGGCAAGTGATAATAGTCTTTCTCATATGACTGTGCCACAGTCGTTTTATGAAAGCAGACATCGTTTCCCTCTATTGTTGGTGTTCGCGGCTGAATGCCAATCCTTATCTAGCAAAAACAGCACCACTTTCATACAACATGGTTTTCTTACTATTGTTCCCCTTGACCTAATACTTCATACACCAGCAGGCTCAGGGAAACACCAAGGTTTGCAGAAGTGGAAAGATACTATTTTTGTGGTGGGTAAGTGGGACTAAGGACAGCCCACTGAAGACTGACTATATCCATTGAGCATGGAATTCTATCTGTCTCTAGGGGTGACAACTGGAAGGATGTGGGATGGAATCAAGTAACCTGAGTGTGACCGCCTGGCTGCCTAGAACCCTGAACAGGAGCACTTGACACTGCAACATTTTGTTGCATGCACTTATTCCTTCTAATAGCAAATTCAGGTGAACCTGCATCTGCAGGAGCCAGTGAGAAACAAGAAGGGAGGTATACTTAGATGAAAACGGCAACTCCACCCCCTTCCCAGAAGACAGCCCAATGGGATGCCCAGTGCTGTTGAACGTTGAGTGTTGGTTGGAAAACAAAAATGGTGGGGTAAAAGAGCCCTTTACAATTTATAGCCTGCTGGTAAAGGTAAAAGGTAATGGTAAAGGACCCCTGGATGGTTAAGTCCAGTCAAACATGACTATGGGGTGCGGCACTCATCTTACTTTTCAGGCCAAGGTCTGCGGCATTTGTCCACAGACAGCTTTCTGGGTCATGTGACCAGCATGACTAAACTTCAGACGAGTGTCAGAGCACACAGAAACACCATTTACCTTCCCGCTGCAGTGGTACCTATTTATCTACTTGCACAGGTGTGCTTTTGAACTGCTAGCATGCTGGATAAGGATAAGGCTGAGTCACTGGCTGGAAACAGGATCCCTCCTGTGAACGTACCCTGCGGCATTTTGTTGCAGGTCCTGCTTGTCTGTTGAAACATCTGGAACTTAAAAATGAATAACTGTTTTACCCAAGGCTCAAAGTTGGGTGATATGCCATTCCTCTGCCCTGTTCTGGCTTTCTGATCATGACAGGGAGCTGTCCAGCAGCACCAGAAGTCAGAGAGCCTAATGAGGAACTGGAGAAGAGCTGTCGAAGAAGCAAATCTGTAAAACCTGACAGGGAAGTTGCACTGCTGGAACCAAACTTTGGTTTAGGCTCATTGTTTTCTTAGTTCTTGAGGACCCAGCAGTTATTTGGGGGAGGGGCTCTAGGGGGTGTATGCATTAGGGGCAATGCATGGACTCCAAGATTTCCATTGTATCTGTATCTATGCCTATTTGAAAATTGGAATCTTTTTATAATACGTACTGTGCTCTGTTCACTTTGGTGGGAACTGAAAAACCCGATGTAAAACGACTGTTTCCCAATCTAAATGTGAATCTAAGTGCATCTAAGTGAATCTAAAAATGTCTATCACTTCCCCAGCTTGCTTTTGACCAAAGTCAATGGAATTTATTTTTAACTACATTGCTCTGTTGTAACCACCACCACCACCACCACAACCAACCAATCAACCAACCCTCAGAGCTCTTCATAAATCCACAGGCAATTTTCTAGATAGCCTATTGGAGAACACAAACAAGCACTGGTAAAGCCAGTGTGAAGCTGCATTTTTTTAAAAAAAATAAACCGACAAAACTTTATACCACTCAGTCACCTAGTAATATTTTAAGGTAAGAAAGAGCAACAGAAAAACTCCTCATAAGGAATTATGAAGGAAAGCGAATCCTTTCCTACGAGAGGGGGTGGCCCCTGCCTGTCTGAAAGAGGCAGTGGTAAAACCACTCCTTAAGAAATCTTCCTCGGATTCAGAAAACCTAACTAACTTTTTGCTTTTACAGAAATCTCCTACTGCTACACTTTAATACAAAAATCAACCCAAAGCTCTTCAGTGCTTCACAGGCAACATTTTGGACAGCCTCACTTCTCCCAAAGCCCCTGGACCTAGAGAAACACAGGGAATTAGGAAATCGTAGCACTATAGGATGCAGAAAAGTTCACAAAGAACCAAATGACACAAGGCTTTGTGGGGACTCTGATTCTGCCCTGGGGAAGGGGGAGGATTGCTTTGACTTTAGAGAGTGGAAAGATCTCCCAAAGACATTCTGATTCATCTCATTATTCAACCCAGACACAGAGCCTATGCAAACCCCAAGTATCCAGGCCCTGTGGTCCTGTTGGTTCTCTGAGTGGGGCATTGTCCATCATGCAGGGTTCCATAATGGGGTTTTCTTCTGATAAGAAGGTCTTATCTGAGTCCAGCCCTTGAAGCTGGTAGTTTGTAACACCCACTTCTTTGAAAGGATGTAATTAAGTCTGGACTAATCTTCCTTGTTTCACTCAAATGAAATAATCCCACCTCATTTCCACCCTTCCTGCTTTTAGCAGCTCACTCCCTAAAATAGGTCTGCTCAACTTGCGGAGCACCAAGTTGGCCTATATGGTGATCCATCAGAGACTTGAAAGAACTCTTGGTTTGCTGCCTGCCTGGGAATGTGGAGGTGCTGATAATGCATGGTTTCTGGACCGTGTATAGGTCACAAATGATGTGTATAATTTATGTGGAAATAACTAATTCTAATTCTATGTGGAAACAGAGCCTTCTTTTCTGATCACTCTTAGCCAAGTAAGATTGTCTTCCATGAATAAGGTCTTAACGGTGTGTCCGTGACTGTGGAGGCCAATTCTGGATCCACACGTCCTTCTGCAGTGGGGGCATAGGTTTCTGGGCAAGAGTTGATCACAGTGAGGATTTGCCAAACATACCTTCCTCTTAGCTTTCGTCCCAAGCTGTGCTTCTTCAAAGTCCATGATGCCTTTGGCAGAGGCTGAGAAATTGCACAGCTTTTGTAGTCAGGGAGGAGGCTGGGAGGCAGGGTGATGGGTGAGGAGATAAAGGGGGAAAGAAAGAGAGAGATGCCTCCACCACAAGCAAGCGGGGGAAAATAGCTACTTTAACAAGAATGAGTAGTTGAAGAAAACAAGTATTTTCAATATATTGCAAACAAAATTATCTGCCAAAAGGGCAAGATAATTATCTTAATGTGATTTTTGACCAAGATAAATATATCTTATTTTATAAAACCGAGCAACAATTTGAATCTTATGCAAAACATGGAGATAAATCTAAAAAATATGATAATGTAATAAAATCAAAATTATTAGGGATCACGCTGCCAAACTTGAGGCAGTAAAATCTTTTTAAGTTCCAAGAGAAAATAGGCTAGTAAAATCCAAGTATGTTACTACAGTTTAATCACTTGATAAATAGCTGCATTGTTTGGGAAGAATGGATAGTGCCATTATTGCAGCATCCCTGTTCATAAATAGTACATTGCTGATTCAACTCTAATGGATGTCTGCAGAGTTGGTATCAAAGTATTGTCATCATTTCAGTGATCAAGGGAAGAGAGGATTGAACCAAGCCTGTTTATATTACTTCTCCCAGAATGTGGATTGCAGCACCTCAGAATTCTGTAATGGCCCAAATAAAAGGAAATGTTACAGAGGCTGGAGAGTGAGTCCTTTTGGATTTCTTTCAGACATAGAGACAAAGCATGTGGGTGGGTTATTTGGTGTTTTCAAATTGTCTGATATGTTGCCATTGCAAAAGCCAGGGATAAAGCAGTGAGTTAGGCAAGCAACACAGCTTATTGGATTAACGGGGGAAAAGAAGGTTCAATGGGAACTCATTGACTCAAGAGATTAGTAATAGAATAAAAATTGTTTCTATTTTTGTCAAAGGGATGCAGCAGTTTTCATCAGTTGTGGGGAGGGAGATTGAGAAGAGGGAGGGAGGGCAGCTAATATTCAACAAATGTTTGAGGCATGAAAATGGTTGGCCATAGAGATGGTCACTCACTGTCCTATTCAGCCTGGAATGAGCTTGAGGCTTTTTTGAGTGCTCCAACTAAATGCTTCAAAAACACCACCACCAACAACAACACAACAACCCCTCTGTGTGCTGCCTGACTGCTTTTCCTAATGTATGTTGTTGAGCCCTTGGGGGAGGCAGGAGAGGTTTTGAGCACAATTCAGGTGGGCACTGAGGGCTTATGTGGTCCTACTTGCTTCCCACCCCACTCCATACAGAATTCTGGCACATGGAAATGTATGCTGATGTGGGCTAGGGCTATTCAAACAACCCCGTTGTTCCACACACACACCCCCACCTCAAAAATAAAGATTAGGGTGGTATTCAACTAACTCGTACTCAGCATAGACTGTAAAATCCATGGACGTGTGTTAGTTATAGCTAACCCAAATCCACTAATTTCAGTGGGTTTACTTTGAGCATGTGAGTTTAGTCAGATACCATCCATAATATCTGAAATCCTTGCACAGGGCTTCCACTGACGGACTCATGAGTTGAACCCCACCCAATGCCACCACCTGAGGTGTTAAAAGGAAGTGGGATATCCTTAGACAGGCAAAAATGTATTTTTTAAACTAGGAAAGGTTGGTAATGGGATAAAGAATTCTTGCCCGAGAGGGAAAATGATGTAAATGAATCTATATTTCACTGCACCAACACTGAAATACAAATATAATTCAAGTTGTGTGTGGTTTTGTTTTTTTAAAAATCCAGCAGTGTTCTCAAGATAGAAATGAAAAGCAGAAACATGTTGCTACTTTTTATCATGTGAAATGTCAATCCACATTTAATGGAGCAATCCAAACTTGATGGGGCAATTCGCACTTTCAGGTCTCTAGTCTTATCATGTGGTATGAAGATTTTAGGAATAAATGCGGAGCACACACTGGGCAGATGTGATAGATCACAATTCTTTAGCATATATATACACTGTTTGTTTGCTGTCATAGGCGGTCCTTTCACATTTTATGCTGTTCACCACTGCAAACACCAATTTGGTCCTGCTAATTTCCTTAGCTCCAATTGCATTTCATGGCAATGGATTCCACAGTTTAACTAGATTGCGTAGCAATCTTTTGCTAATTTTAAAAATAGCCACCCTTATATTTCAACGACCCTTGCTCCGTTGTGAAAGCAAAGACCATATGTTTGACACCCTTTACTTTGGAAAGGCTCAAGAAGTCAATCTGCTTCCTCTAGAATAACAGATTTTAAAGGCTAAGGTCAAAAACTTTAACTTGGCGAGCAGCGATTTTTATAAAGAAGCAATAGCAGAACGGCTCATTTTCTTGTTAGCAGTGTCTTCCTAGTTCATCCCATGCCTGTCAGTGAGTTAATAGAGCGTCTCAACCCTGTCTCCCTTTGCCCAGTGCCATCCAATCAGCTCCTGCTAGTTAACATTTTAGAAAATGAGCCTAGATGCATTACAGCCTTGCCTCTTGCAGCAATGGGGGTGATGAGACCTGACTACAATAGATACGGAGCCCCAGCGAGGGCACTTTATAATACTGTATGACTGGAGAATTGCTATTGTAGGTAGAGAAAAAGGCAATAAAGCAGCATTGATATCCTGCCTGCCCTCTTATAAGAGTTATTGAATCAAACCTACCAGAACTGCTAGACAAACAATTTTCAGCTGCAGTCTGAGGCATGACAATGGCATCACATCAAAAAGAAATAGGTAAAGCTCACATGTTTGTGATGCCCCTAGTGACACGCCACAGCAGGCTGCCAGTGATTGTTCTCTACATTCCGTTTCCTTCCCTGGCTCAGTCTCCCTTCTTCTCTCCTCCATCGCCATCTGAAATCTTTCCTCATCTCCATTTCTGCCAGAGTGAGGCAGCCACCTCAAGCAGCTGATTTTGGGTGCCATAATAACAAACAAACAACAACAACAACAACTCATTGTTTAATGTACCGTATTTACTCGAGTCTAATATGCCATCAAATCTAATGCGCACCTCAATTTTCAGAACCTTGAAACCAAAAAAAGTATTTGCTGGCAAATGTAAATGTGTTATTGAATCTAATGCGCACCTTAATTTTCGCCAAGTTATTTGGCCAAAAAAGGTGAGCATTAGATTCGAGTAAGTACAATATTTCATTTTTACTGCCAGGGAGGAAAGAGATGTTCGTAGGAGCTTGTCTTTGTAGCTTTATGTGCCAAAGTAACTTGGCTGGCCTTGGGTACTATCCACCTTGACTTGAGGGAAGAGGGTGCTATTTGTGTCTCTGCCTCATATAGCAAAATGTCCTGGGTCAGCCTTGTATGGTCCACCATGAATATGACATTTGCTACACCTTCCATCTGGAGGGCTACAGGTTCTCCACCCCTGCTCTGTTAGTAATCTTTACATTTCTTCCAGCATGGCATTATGTTCTTTTGCCATCCACTTATAGCCTTGGTTTGCCAGATCCCTGTGGGTATCTGGAAGGATGTTGAAGGAGTCTTATCTGTCAATTTCACATTTCTTCTACCCACTTCCTGGGACTCTTGGGGTCCAAAATTGATGACAGATCTGGCTTTGTCATGGACTGGCTGGATACAGAGCAGTGGTGGGAGGCACCAGCCAGGAAACTCCCTAGGGAACCCCCCAGGGAAGAAGGCTCTGAGTCAGGGGATTGGTGGTGGGCTGAAAATGAGTGGTCAGAGGGAGAAGAAGGTGTCAGAAACAGAAGAGGTGACAGGGTTTAGTGAAGGGCAGGCATCCCCAACCTGCGACCCTCCAGATGTTTTGGCCTACAACTCCCATGATCCCTAGCTAACAGGACCAGTGGTCAGGGATGATGGGAATTGTAGTCCACAACATCTGGAGGGCCAAAGGCTGGGTATGCCTGGTGAAGAGGAAGAGGCTGTGGCAGAGCACAGTTCAGACTCCAAGGCAGAAGTGGGGGCCTGGAGAGATGGAGTCAGGAAGCAGGTGGCTGAAGAAGCCAGTGAGTCTCCCTGACCTGCTGTGACTAGCTCCCATCCCCTCATGTCTCCAGCAGCACACCGAGAAATGTAATGGGCAAAGCAGAGGGTTTCTGTGTGCAGGTGCAGCCTGAGACTGCATGGAAAAGAACCTGGAGAGGAGTCCTAGTGGGCACTGGGAAGGCTGGGACCTTCAGTCCTTGCAACTGCTTCATCAGGGCAAGATCTCCTAAACAGAGTTGCTGAGACCACTAGGCCAAGCCCATTCCAAACCAAGCCAGAGCTCTTCCATCACTACTAGTCACACACCATTCATCAAATTGCAAATGGCCCGTAATAATGGATACATCCCATGATAGGAAGCAGAAGGCAGCCTTTTAAAAACTGATCATGCACTTTAGCCAATAAGCTTTTTCGTTCTGTTTACAGATGCAGGAAACACAGTCTGATTTTAGCAGCAGTTGCAAAATTGGTCAAAGATATTTGTCATCAATTCAGAATGTCCATTAGTACGCGAGTCTGACTTCTTCCCTCAGAATTACAATGGCAAAGTGCAATGTGAGTGTAGAGTTGAGGCATAAGGCAAGGACAATTTAAATGTCAAAAGGCAAGGGAATGGAAATCAAACCATTATTGACCATGATGGCTACACTAACAAACTTAACTCTATGCTGCAGTATGAAAAATCCTTTTAATCTGTGGGCAACATATTTAAGGTTCACAAGTGATTATGTTGAGTACTTTCAGTTTCCTACCACAAAATATTGATTGTGTGGTTGTTGTCTGAAAGTATGCACACACAACTTTTAGAAGACATCTGAAGTCAGTCGTGTATCAGGAAGTTTTAATGTTTGATGTTATATTATGTTTTTATATGTGTTGAAAGCCTCTCCGAGTGGCTGGGGCAACTCAGCCAGATGGGTGGCATATAAATAATAAAATTATTATTATTATTATTATTATTATTATTATTATGAAGAATATATTTTAAGTTATCAGTTAGGCTAAAAAGCATTAGAATTGTGGGATTTTCCAAATTTGACAAAAAGTGTCCTCCTCTTGCTGAATAATTTTACATACTCCTTTCCCATCTCAATTGACAATGAAAATCTACTGCTCAGGAATGTCATGTGAGTGTGATAAGTTGAAGTTACTAAAGGAGAATTGTTACTAAGATTTGACAGGCCCAAAGGCTCAGGCACAAACAAATGATATCTTTACCTGAGGGATTTTTGAAATGATATTTTTAGGGCTCTCTGCATAATGACGAATTTCAAACTCCATTAAATAACTTTTTTTGTGTGTCAAATGATGCATTGTGCAATTAGTACAGAGACCAGGATAGGAAGGGACTCTAGTGAGTTTGCCTGATACCTTGCAAAACTGTGTATAACTTTAATATATGAGGCACTGCCAACCTAATTATGGAGGCATATGCACCCACCTGCCACTTCAGAGATACTTATCACTTGATTAAATGCTCAGCAGTGAAATTAGTATGAAGGATTTGATATGAAAATATCATTGATCTTTAAATTTTCATTGTTGCTACAAATTGCACACTTCTTTATATAAGCAGCTAATGTGATATGCAGTGAGAACCATGATTTAAAAAGCATCAACATGCTTTTGGATCAGGTTTTCGTGGGGGGATTTTGCTAAGAAATAAACACAAATTTATTTACAAATGATCTACAAATGATGCCAATAGGGATGTTGGAGAATTCTACTGAAAACAGATATTGGCGCAGATATTGCTGATGTTTACTTATTTGTCCCATGTCTGGAAGAGAAATCAATCCTGTAAATATTATTAGCATTGATTGTTTTTGCTTTCAGTCCACCAATGCTATGCAATCCAATTAATTTTTCCCCACATTTGCATTACATTTCCTTTACACTGAAATGAATAGGTTGGGATAATGACAACATAATTTATATAATGTAAGTTTTATAATTTCACCACAGTGGGCAATGAGATGAATAACATAGTTTTTGGTGGATAATGAGCTGCAGCAGAAAGGAAACAATGGTGCATTCAACGAATAGGGCAGGGCAGAAAGCAATGCCTTCTTACATACCCAGATGCCAACTTTGAATTTCAGCTTATTTTGTCTAAAATGTAGTTGCTAGTATACTCCAAACATTCTGGGACACCGCTTAGAAAGTAAAGTGTGTGCACAATGTTATTATTTTCCACTGACATCTTTCACTATAGTTGGTACAGCTTATTGCTTTCCATGTGGGTAATGAGAATACAGTGGTACCTCTGGTTACAGACGCTTCAGGTTACAGACTCCGTTAACCCAGAAATAGTACCTCGGGTTAAGAACTTTGCTTCAGAACTTCCGGGTTGGCGCCACCGGCAATGGCGGAATTCCTCTGACCGGGAGGAATTTGCCTCGTGGAAATTCGGGTCTGGCCGCCACAGCGAAGGCGGAGACCCACTAAAAATCACAGGCAGTTGAAGCCTGTGAACGTGGGATTCGGCGGGCACCTTTTGCGCCTCCCCTACTCGTGGGAAACCCGATTTCGGGGATCCGGAGCGATGTGGGGTGAGCGGCGCGGTGCTTCGGATCGACTGCTTCTTCCACGAAGCGAAGCCGCATAGCTGTTGCCGGAGAGCGCTGACTTTTTCCTGTGGACAATTTGATCTTAAAGCAACTACCCGTGAGTAGAGTGAAGAATTGGATTTTTAAACGTTTTAATTTGGCACCGAAACGGGGAGGTTCAAAACAGGAAGTCCACCTCCCCTTTTTGTAAATAAGACTGAGGCAAAGAGGCTGCAAGCTAAAGTCTTGGAAAGCCCAAGGACTAAATTCTAATCAGTAAAAAATATTAAACCCCCCTTGGAAGCAGGAGAAGAGGGGGGAGGCTTTGGATTGTATATTCCTGCAGGAGTGAGTGAGGAAGTTAAAATACCACCGTTCCGAACCTGGAAACGGACTGCCAGTAAAACCGACGTGCTTTAGAAGATTCATTGACAGCGAATAGAACGTTCGGTGACAGCTACATAAGAGAGATACATTGTTTCCATTGTCTTCGTCTGCACTTAAAAAGGAGTAAAGTAACGAAAAATTGAAACAATGTTACTGAACTTTATTAAAAAAGGAGGAAAGTAACTGAAAATTGAAACTAATTTTGGATTATTGAAACTGTGTTCAAAAGAGGACATACTGACCGATACAAATACAACTCGCTTTCCCCTAGTGGAAGCTTTTGAAATTTACTTGATAGGAGCTGGGCTAGGGGATTTTCCAGCTGCAAGATAAGAAAGTGTGAGACTTTGGAATTGACCTTGAATTCTTTAAGTGTTATGGCAAACGGAAAGGAAAAAACAGACGGGATGTCGACAGAGGAGGCCTTAGTGGCTGTATTATTGAAAATAAACGATTCGCTGGAACAACTCCATAAGAAAATAGATGCGAGAAATGTGAAATTGGATGTTGCAAGTATTGAAATTGATTCAACTGTAGAAAGCTTAAGCAACTTGGGACAAAAGGTGAATACCAATTCAGAAACCACTCAGAAACTGACACAGGAATCTACTTCGATATGGCAAACTGCAGATGAAGTCAGGGGAAAAACCCTTGCTGCTGAATCTAAAATAATACAACTGGAGAGGAGAGTCCCATCCATACAAAGACAACTGACATTCGTTATGATTGAACTTAAGGAGGAGCGGATGAGTTTGAGGACCAGGGCCCCGTCTGAATTGGAGGAGGAGGGCCTGGCGGAGTTTCAGGAGGCGATACTAACATTGGTTGAGAGGAAGAGGTATTTGGGGGTTGATATGACTGCCAAAAATGTGAATCTGCTTAAGGATAATTGTGAAGGATGTTGGATTGAAGAGGGGGGGGGGGATTTGGAAATATGGACAG